TCTCGTCTGCCCAGGTATTTCAGTTCGGCAACCAAGGAAGCTCCGACGCCAAAATATTGTTACTGAGTTCTCCGGCCAAGTGCCACCTGCGTACGAGAGGATGAAAGTTTTGGTGGGAAAATCGCTGGCTCGGGAACCAGGAAGGCTAGAAAGCTGAAATTACGAGGTTATTTTCTCCATCCACATTGAACCAGAGGTTTCAAATTCAGCTCTCAGGTGTGCGTGTTTCCCGTGTACGGCCCCCTGAGGTTTCCTGGCGGGAAAATCGCTAACTTGGGAACCATGAAAGCTGAGAGGCTGAAATTTTAAGGGAATGTCCCCAGTCCATATGCAGCTTGAAATTATCAAATTCAGCCGCGTGGTTCTCATATACGGCCCCGTAAAATTTTTTGGTGGAAGGGCGGCTAGCTCGAGAACCAAGAAGGTTGAGAGGCTGGAATTTTAAAAAGGTGTTCGCAGTTCACATGTAACTTAAAAATTTTAAACTCAGCCCCCGTGTAAGGCTGCAAGTCACGTACGACCCCGTAAAGTTTTTGTTGGGAAAATTGCTAACAAGAGAACCAGAAAAGTTGGAAAGTTGAAATTTTAACGGAATGTTCCCTGTCCAAGTACTACATAGTTGCACAACTAAATCCCCGAAGTTTGAGGGCCAGTATGTCGCAAATTTTAGCTAATGAGTTTCGGAGCTGTCTTACTGCAGCACGAAACACTGCAAAAACGCGTGATCGCGTGGGCTCGTCTGGTGCGCATCGCCAGTGATTTTAGTTATTCACCCATTCGGGTCACTGAATTGTTGTGTCAACGAGTGTGTCATAGGGCAGCCCAGATTTGCATCTTTTCACGACAAATTAAAGGAACTGACGGCAAATATAACTGGATTATGTATGAATAATATCGGGAGCTCGACATACTTATTATGGTAATGCAGGTTTCATATTTCAAAAGAAGCGCCATGTTGCACCAGCATAATAACCGTAATATAATGAGAAAAAAAAAATGGCTGGTGCTCTGCCCATTCTTAGAGTTGACTAAACAACGCAACACAGATCAAACAAAGCAACACAAAAATCGACAATTAACTAACGTGAATATGTAGCAACGAGCACTGTCTGCTCTCGCCAGTTATACACAATGCGAGAGTTGATGCTCATACCGAACATTCGCGAACCAGTTGGACAATAAGCAGAAATCGTAAAACTGGGCAGGCGCGTGATGTGTACCTTGCAATAATTTCTAAACGGAGCCTACGATTCGGCTTTTTCAAACATTTTGCATGAACTGAATTGCATTTCCTGTTTTCAGGACTGAATACCTCAACAATCACTACAACGGTGAACAAAGTGTGTGCATCCGGCCTGAAAGCTATAATGCTAGCGGCGCAAACGTTACAACTTAGCCAGCAACAAGTACTGATTCATTAAACTTATTTTCTTAGCATTTCAACGGCCGTACTAAAAACTTAATGTCAATAAAATTGTCTGAAGACGTTCATGCTAGCAACTTTCGCATTTTAATGTAAACAACCAGTGTTTCATAGCGTTTTTCTCTCTCGCCAGTCAGTGTATCTGGAAATTCCTCCATTTTGTCCTAATTTAGGCCCGTAGCTTAACCGAAACATTCCAGCAAACCTCGACCGCAATGACGTTTCTCCTGCGATCAGCATTCCACAGGTCCTGCCCAGTTATTCACTTAGTTCATGCCTTATCCCGCTTTCTCACCACATGGTCAGCGCATTTTTTTTGTCAAAAAAAATCGTTTACATCGAAATGTAAACAGAAACAGAATCACAGCTGCAAAAGATTTTCTGATCTGAAAAATCCGTAAAAATTCAGAAATTGATGCAAGTGCTTCTTGCCATATTCTAGCTGATCTCGATTCTATCAAGAAATCACTTTAACCCTGTCAGCTTTGCTAATTTTTAAAATTAATTAATTTCGCTGGTCTCTTTCAGATTGCAATCGGTGGCGGAATGGAAAATATGAGTCAGACTCCGTTTTACTTGCCAAGGGGCGAAATACCATATGGAGGTTCTAAGATTATCGTACGTTCTATATGGCAAATTAATTTTTATGCATTTTCTTTTAAAGTTAGAATCACGTTAAGTTTCGTATATGTGTGTGTTTTCGAAGATCTGAGGAACCTGGAAAGCAGGGATCATACGAATTCAACAACCTGGAAAGAAGTAAAACCTAGAAACAACTTAGTCGCTTCTCTGATCTCGGGCCCAAATTCAGGCAAATGTAGTGTACGGAATTGCTAGGCTCATTCGAAAACCTAAAAGCTACCAAAATCTTCGAAGATCACCGACCTTTAGAGGAGCCCAAATTTAGCACAGAAAAATTCGTCGCAGAAGCCTAAAATAGGGGCGCTTCAATTAGCAGTGGCTTTGCAACGTTTTAATTTTAATTTCCAAAAGGGCTTTTGTGAAACCGTTACATGAGTGTGACAGCACACAACATTTAAGCTATTTTCATGTGTAGCTTGGTTTTTACAGGATTCCGTGTTGAGCGACGGCTTAACAGATGCTTATGACCACATTCATATGGGATTATGTGCTGAGAAAACAGCCGAGGAGATGAATATTACACGCGAGGACCAGGATAAGTATGCAATTCTAAGTTATGAAAAGTCTTCTGCTGCGTGGCAGGTATCATTATCATGATACTATTAGCGTTATCAACAATAATAATTATTATTATACTTGAGCCAGCACCAGCTGTGACTGTTTACCAACCGGTTGCCAACTTTTCCAGCTGCTTTAACCAGTGCTTCATCGCCTGATGGTTAGCATGTTGCCGACCGTGATGTCCGTTTCGTTCACCGAAATTTGGATAATTAAATCATTGGCGACGCGCACTGGGGGGGACCCGTGCGATCATGCGTTTTCGCAGTGTTTCGTGCTGTAATAGTATTACTCGAAATTTCGCTAGCTAAAAACTTCTTGTACATGCTAAACTTCTTGTACATACTCGAATTTCGGGGACTTAATTATCCAAGCTATAGTTGGACAGGGTACATTCCCTTGAAATCCCAGGTTCCCAGCTTTCTTAGTTCCCGAGTTACTCAAACTGCAGCCAAAAAATTTCACGGGGCCGTACGTGGCAACCA